CTACCCTGAAGATGGAGGCGATACGTTCCTCCGAAACGTCGGTTAACACCACATATACACGGTGCCAAATCCCAGAAGACTGCTTTCTTCATAGTCACCGCCGTGAAAGCCTCAAATCTTATATAACATTGATTTGCTTATTACGAATCTGTTGTGTCTACAGCTGTATAGTAGTACCATAAATTTATTTTACGTATGCCTTGTTCAACAATTTTCTTGGAAGAAAGAGATATTATATATATCACTATTGAACCATGGCCTTCAGATAACAAAGAAATGTCACTGGTCACTTATGTCAGAAGAGAACTCAATGTACCCTTCATTCGGATGAAGGCAATGAGTTCCCAGTGAAAGCTACAATTTCTCGAAATAAACAAAGTCACTACTCACATTGTGAAGCCAGCTGAGTTTCCTCCAGGCCGGATTTGCCTTCACGTGACACTCAAAGTAAACATCATCACCTTCCTTGATGTCATCTGGGTTGAGGGTACTGCCCAGCATCAGCGAGACAATTGGCGGAACTGAAAGAACAAAAGAACGACGTTTATAACTTTCATCTTATGCTTGTTATTAATGCATACTGTCACGTATTCGGTGGTGTGCGTGTTTTGCATTGATGACCGGACTTACTGTACACTTATACAACTCGCTACTACACTTCACAAACTACTATATGACACACTTCACCATCATCTTCGACTGCCGCCTTAAGAGACTGCTTCAATTCTAATTCAGCTGGCGTTGGAACATCGTTACGTAGACTAGGGTCGGCCGCCAACAGAAAACACCGCTTCCTAAAAGTTCCCTTATTATTACAGAGACGTGTTTACCTCGACACTAAATAGAAATGGCAGTTTTTATATTTTGCATGCGTGTTCATTCCCGTGGAAACCTGTTTACCGAATCGTTGCTTAGCAATGGACATCTACTGTGGCTCCGATATTCCGGCTTTCAGGAGTCGTGACATAATCTGTGTGCAAAACAGTTTTTGGACTTGTCCGTCGTCCGGTATTCTAAAGAAAACAGCGTTTCTGGGAACTGGCTCACTCTTCTGCACACTGCGCCTACTGCCAATGTGGTGGTTCAGGGATTCTTTAACTAAGAGCGGCTTCTCCTCAGGCATATTTTACAATTATTCTTAATTGTTTTCTCAAAATATCTTATTGTTTACTTTACATTTTCTCACCCTTAATATGTCATTATGTTCTGTGAAGTTAAGGCAGACACAGCAATATTTTATATATATATATATATATATATATATATATAGGCCTATTCTGTCCTATTCAGTTAGGATGCAAAAATAAATAAACAATTAATTGAATTGCTTTTATAATTAGTAACTTGTTGGTTTTAATAAAACTCCCTTATTGTATATGGTATTTTTTTCTTGCTCTTACCATTCTTTCGCTTTTCCTTGTTGCGTAGTTTTCCCACTGGGCTGTTCCCAAACTGCCCTTGTAGCTCTCGACTCGGCACATAAACGATAACAAACTGAACTGAATTATTATTAGATTCTAATGGGTTCTGATGATGGTGGATGACACACAGAATTATTGGGGTTTATGTTTTTTCCTATCGTCCGGAATTTTAGGTATTAGAGGACACGACGTTTCGGAAACTGTATCTTCAGGTGAGAAAGGAAGACACCCAGTTGGGCCCCTTATAAGCAGTTAATCTCAATCACTGGACCTTTTTTGGGAGACGATTTAAATTCTCTAGTTCCTGGACTCAGATTATTGGACTCACTAAATTTTATTATGGTCCAAGTGCCTTGGTTTAGTCCGGATTGGCTTGTCTCTGTTCATACGTTCGTCTTTGTTTCTTCTTTGCTCGTGCTTATTTTACAATTGGAATTTGGGCTGATGTGTAAACAAATAAGTAAAGAATTAGACTGAATTAATATTAGCATATATTGAAATGTGGAGCCGGGATAGCGCAGTCGGCATAGCGACTGGCTACGGGCTGGACGACTGAGGGGTCGGAGTTCAAGTCCCGGTTAGGTAAGAATTTTCTCTTCCCCACTTTGTCCGGCTCTGGGGCCCACCTAATTTCCTATGAAATGGGTACCGGAGGCTCTTCCTCTGGGGGTAAAGCGGCTGGGGTGTGAAGCTGAGCAATCACCTCCAGCTAGTGCCGTAGTGTTAATGCCCCACACGTCTTCATGGCGTAGTGCTTAATTTGGTAAGTACAGGGACATTTTTTTTTCCCCCTTGGCACTACAGCCCCAGTGGGTCTAGGCCTACCTCCATGAACTTCTCTGTTCACTTCGGTTTTTCTAGATCTTACGCATTCGGTAGGACTCCTTGGTCGGGTGATCAGCTCGTCGCAAAGCCTCTACCTGTACACAAACACAGAAAAAAGCACACACACAAACTAAACATGTCCTGAGTGGGAATCGAACCCACGATCCCGCTTTCCAAGCGAGCGAATACAGTACATGCCTTAGACCGCTCGGCTACCGTGACCGGCTACAAGGACACATTTACCATATATATTAAAACATTTAAAAGTTAAATTGTTTTCTGTTGTGATACTTTACACTTGCCATGTTTATTCCAGTCATTAAATTATTAATTATATCAATTGTTAATATACAGGTGTCCCAAAAAAAGTACTAACAATTTTAATGACATCAAATACAACGTTCTTTAAAGTAGATACAAGGTTAAAGATTTAAATTGAAGAAAACAAGTCTACTGCACCATGCGTGTTCGCAAGTGTTCGAACTGATGACCATCATTATCCAGACAGAGCTGATAACGTGGAAGAGTGGAATCACAAACTGCACGAAGCATTTCATTTGTAAATTGAAAACACGAGAATTTTGAGGAGTCCAGTAGGCGCAATTGTGTCGATCAATTGTGCCACTTAAATTAAATGTGGCCTCATCGCTCCAGATAATTCTGTTTGGAAACGCTGCATTTTCCGCACATTTTTCCTGGTACCATTGATAAAATTAAGTTCTCCGGTCAGGATCATCTTCATTGAGAGCGTGGGTTGATGTTGGAATGTAACTTTTCCAATGGACTCTCTTCAAAATTCGATGGACGCTCGATTTTGAGATTCCTGTCAAAGAGTGAATATATTTTTTGGGACACTGTATAAATTTTAGTTTTCTCACTGCATAATGGTAACTTTGATTTGTTTTAACGGAATTATTATTATTATTATTATTATTATTATTATTATTATAATATAAATTTTCATGTTCTTTGTATTTTGTTTGTGTTGTGTTTTCTATCTTCTTCTTTACTCATGTTCACTTTGTAAATGACCTTTTGGCTGTTAAGTTTGCAAGTAAATACGTAAGAGCTGAAATGCATTATGATGACTATCTTCATTTTAAAGCGTCACTCAAGCCTCTGATGCAAGAGTGGATCAAAATAAGGGATATAACTCTGGGTAGCCCGCTGAAAGCCAACCAACGTTTCGGAGGAATATATCGCCTGTGTCTTCAAGGTCGAAAAATGAGTTGTTACCTACTTCACGCTGGTTTCTTGCGTCGATCATCTTCGGCCCTGAAGTTGGAGACATTTTCCTCAGAAACGTCGGCTGACTCTCAACGGATTACAAGAAGTTATATCCAGAAGATATAATTCTCCATAATCACCGCTGTCAGAACCTGAGATCCTACAATGAAAGCATTATCTGTGAGAAATAGAACTGGGAGTCTGCAAAATTTCCTGCTGAATCTTCAATTGACTGTTCACTAGTGATAAGAATTCTAGACGACCTGCAGAAGCCAGGATGTTCTTCAGGTAACATCGTAAACCGGTCACTAACCCTTTAACGTCCGAACTGCCCACATATCGGTACAGTGATAGGCATTTCCGTTACCAAAATGCACATATTCGTGCACTCGGACATCTGAACGCCGCTAGCAGAGGCGCGCGCATACTCCGCTAGTAAAAACGCAAGCACAGTACGAAATAATTATTTTTAACTACAGTAAAATTCAATGAACGTACCTTTTGTGTGACTATCTGCTTGATGTATATATAACCTTCGCCCCCGCGTCATCTAACTGAATCTCTCCTTTGTATGATACTCCTCGAAGCACTCGAGAATGTACAATCTCAGGTCACAACCCTCCTTTTGAATTTAAAATTATTTTGTCAGCAGCAAAATACTCCAAAAGGATTATAATAATTTTCATATGCATCATTTAGAGTGTAACAAATTGTGCGAATTTTCCGTAATCGGTCGCAACTGTCGGCTTTTCTGTCAATTTGTGCATAGTTGTCTCTATAGTGAATGGTGCGATGAATGTGAAAAGCTAGGTGGCGTTTCAATGTGTTACCGTAGAAGGAAGTGAGAGACTGTTAAGCAGTCGCCCAGCGGCCTCTTATTCTAGCCCTAATTTGTTTTCATTGGCACTTCAGCCCCAGTGGGACTAGGCCTACCTCCATGAACTTCTCCGTTTTTCTAGATCTTACACATTCGGTAGGACTCCTTGGGCGGGTGATCAGCTCGTCGCAAGGCCTCTACCTGTACAAAAACACAGAAAAACGCACACACACACACAAACTAAACATCCATGCCCTGCGTGGGATTCGTATCCACGATCCCGGTTTCCAAGCAAGCAAAGACAGCACATGCCTCAGACCGCTCGGCTACCGTGACCGGCAGTGTATAAGAATAATATATATGAATTCAGTTCCTACCTCACAGGAAACAGATCCGAACCCACGATCCCGGCTTCCGAGCGAGCGAAGACAGTACATGCCTTAGACCGCTCGGCTAACGTGACCGGCCATTCTAGCTCTAATACCATAATGAAATTAAAACACGATATCCGAATTCACTAAGAACTCACAGAGAACTGAGCACACACCGTATCTAAGCTATGATATAAGCGTCTGATTGTAACCAGCTGCACCTGTAATGGAAGGATTTGGCATTCAGATACAGAAGAAGGGACAGTCCTTCCTGAGTATTCATACTTTCACTTTGCACTTCTCTGGTCAACAGAGTCGAGTAACTGAAGTGTGTAAGAAAAATGTGAATTTTACGAGGAGAAAAATACATTTTGGGCCCCCCGTCCAAGATCTTTTATGACACCGTGGACCACGGAGGAATGTCAAGTGTTACAAGCAGCAATGATTTTATAATGCAGAATCACTTAGTGAAGAAGCGGAAACATTTTTTTACAGTACGAATCGAATTATAAGAAAGGAGAGCACACCTTTTTGCTTAAATATTTTCAAATCTTACGTTATACTATCTGATACTATGTCCTTTGATGATAAAAACAAAGCCGATTCCATTCATTTATCATAAAAATTGTATCAGATACAGCATTTTCAAATACAATGCTTAAAATTATTGAAGCTCTCTAACAGTAACAGACATTTAAACGCACAACCGCAACGGGAATTTAAATAAGCTCTGGCCAGCTCAAGCTACCACCATTTCAAAAGTCCGACGTTTATAGGTTACATGTAGACCCGTTGCTTGGCAACGACAGCGAAACAAACAACTAGACACTGACCGTTGTTAGGCAATAGCCGCTACAGAC